CCCCCCCCCTTTCTACTTTCTATCTTTAGTTTCTGGATTTTATTTTCCAATTCTTCCTTCCTCCCCTTCTCCTCTTCCTCTTTATCCCTCCTCTCTTCTCTCCCCTCCTCTCCTTTACCCCTCTTTTCGTCCTCCCCTATCTTAATTCTATTTTCGTGTTTCCGCCTTGCTTTATACTTTTATTATAGGGGTATTTTCACTCCATCACTCAAAGATCCTTCGAAATCTTTCACTCCCTTCTTTCATCTACAACCCAACCAAGAGCAGGTCTCTCGGTTAACGTCATTCTTTTACGCTGTCAATTCTCGATACACGAGACCACAACCCCTCGACTGTCCTTACCGCGTCCTTTTTGTTGCAATGGAGACGAAATACGGTCTCGCAGTATTAGGGGCACTATTTGCCTCTCTTCATGTCACCTTAGCTTTGGGATCTGTTGCCGTTATCAGCGAATGCGATTTCCCCATCTACTTCGCGGCTGTCGGAGGGAGCTCTAACCCACAGATGGAAGAGCTCCAGGGGTATTATACCCAGCCCTACAGTGAAGAGGGGGTTGGCATCTCTGTCAAGCTCTCTCCGGATAACACTACGTCTGGACCAATCTCACAGTTCGAGTATACTTGGGCCAACGGCAAGATCTCGTATGACCTATCCAACATCAACGGCTACCCCTTCTCCAGTGGCGGGATGCAGATCGTTCCTTCAATGCAAAACGATCCGGCCAATCCTACCTGTGTTATCGTGGATTGTCCGGAAGGTCAGTCCGTTTGCACCGCCGCCTATAATGCACCTGATGACATTCGCACGATGGTCTGTGACCAGGAGTCCAACCTCGTGTTAACCATATGCCCGGATAGCTCCAATAAACGACGGATCTCTAAAAGGGGACCAGGGCGTCATCAGCAGTTGCACAATCTCCACCTGGTGCGACGTTCACGATCGCCGGTCAGATAGATGGCCTGGCTAAGGGCATGAAGCGGTACGAAAGATTCTAACGCTAGATGGGGAAGGGGAGCCCTCCCGCCCTACCGGTTTGAGTACACGAGCCCGGCAACCACCACCTCTCTGTGTCGCTATTTCCTAGATAATGCAAAGGATAAATGGTGATGCAGCGTGAGGCTGCGAACTTTATAGCGCTCAACCATATGTGAATGTCAAGCCCACGTGACGGGCTTGAAATGTCTTAGTAGGGGGCCCGCCCGACCGGTGTCGAAGGAAAGAGTGATGTGTCGTCGATGGCGTAACACGATTACACAGAGAGGGGGTGGGGGGGAATGGGATTGAGCCGTAAGTGAAAGGCCACGTAGATAGAGTAATTAGATCTTAAATTTATGGATGAGGGAGTTCATGTAGCAGTCTGTATCCGCCTTTCGCTATGTATACTTCTCATACTTTTTGTCTGCGAGCGTATGTCCAAGAGACTTCAGAATGCAGGCGGTAGGGGTGACTAAAAGGACCTTGACTTTGGTTTCCCGTGGCGGTCTTCGTCTCTTTCGTCAGAAAATCCTTCGTGCTTCCCACGCGATCGTTTCTCGCCTCATATTTTGAGGAGCCAAAGGTGTTTTAGCGCTCGTCTTGAACTCGGGCCAGTCTCTATAGAGTGCATCACCGGGGCGCGCTTTCTCGAGTGTCTCGAGTATGACGAGGTTGTGAGGTCCCATCTCCAGCCAATAAACAACGAGAGGGGATTCCACACCTATCTTTAGATGAAGTCTGCCTGCATAGGCCTTTTTCGCTGTCGCGTTCAGTCACCTCCCCTTTCCGACCCATCCCCTTCCCTATCGCGGACCTCACGTTTTACTAACAGTTTCTTGCGGAGTAGCCTACCGTGCTGATCAAGTCTCGTCGCCGCGGCGTGTCGATTGCTCAACTCTTTCTCCTTCTGCCACTCACCTGAAACCGCACCACGATGGCCAAAAAGGCAATCCAGCTCGATGAAAGAGCACTTTCTGGAGGTTCGACCAGAGAACGAGGAACAAGAACCAGCGGTATCAAAGTCGCCATAGCCACAAGATCTGCACGGAATTGAAGGGGGGTGCTCTGTGCAAATGTTCCTCGAGCACGGGCAGTTTTCGAACTTGGATTATAGAGCCCTTCTCTGCAGCATAAATGCGCATGCATATTTCGCACAACCATTTGTTATATCTCTTAGCTTGAAACCCGGTTCATATGAGTGTTGTCCTAAGACCATCTTCGGGCTGATCCTTCGGTTTTTTGTTGATGTTGGTGGAAATACCAGACACGAAGGTGTCACTGGCGAGGATGTTGTGGCCGCACTCGACCGCTCCCACTCCGCCGTTTCAGCGTGTATGTCGCTGTCACGATCTCCTCTCAATTACCCTCGTCACATTTGTATTCTAATGTCGTTTGCCGTCTCTCCTAGCCGCCCGATTTGTGATGAAGGCTTTTTAAAGGAGCCGATGGTGGCGGTATTACCGGGAGGTATTCATCGTTGGGGATAAAGAGAGGTTGTAACTCGTCAGAGGAATTATGTGTCCGAGCGCGAAGAAGGTAGATCAACGGCCACAATAGTTTCCCGACGTCCTCGCTCTCTGCGGATTTGACATTCTGGAGATTGTTCTCAGCTTCTGAACCCGAGTGGCACGAGCGAGCAAGATTATTCGATGCTAGCCACCCGTCGATTGATAAGAACGGTGAGGAGCCAATTCTAGACTGACTCGAAGATGAGGAGGATAAAAGGTGTAGTAGTGGTCCATTCGAAAAGCCTGATGGGCCTAATTAACGATAATCGACAGAGGTGTCTGTAGTACTGCCATCATACCTGCCACCCATTCTCGTGATCAAAATAGCTAGCTGATGGGTCTATTGTAAATTCAGAGAAGGTCGATGCATTAGACAGTCATGGTAGCGGGGGCAGATTCATCAGGGATTCTCTTTCAGCATTTACCCTCCTTTGCTCTTCCCGAAGGCAGACCATTTGTGGATTCGGCAGGATCGTGAATAGGTCACGGATTTTTGTCTGTCTACCTGTTTCTCTCCCCAGGCCAGGTCTGATCGTCTATATACAAAATGCTAGGTACCAGGAAGACCTCTCAAGAGTCCTGCGACGCCGCAAGGCCTCCTGGCACTAGGCGCAATCAGGTAACGCCTGAAGCGCTTGTGGAACGGCAACTGTTCCAGGCGCAACACCATTGATGCGCGTTGCTCCGCGTGACGCGTCGAGGGTTTAAAATTAGACGATCCAAGGGGCGGCACGTGACTAGCATGGGTTTCATGATGTTTTGCCTCCATCAGGGGGCTTACCCCGTAGCTGGCGCGATTCCCTCTCTCCCGTGTTCTGAGCGGAGCGGTGCACAAACATGCAACATCAAAGGTGCGTTAGTTGCCACGAGAAAAATCTTGAATGCGTCCCTCTTCCCGAAATGCGACCCCAGAGACGCCGTCGCCGGCTACGCTCGCCCATCGGACCTTCACTCGTACCAATATCTACTATCGACTCTGAGGATCAGAGCCCGTACACCGAGGATCACAGCCCGCACACCGAGGATCACAGCCCGCACACCGAGGACAATATCAAGCAGTCAATCGTGGTTGTGACGGATGCGCTGCGGCGATTTCAACAATCATACCTTGATCTGCAACAAACAGCAAATCAATATCTCCAAACGATCCACTCTCAAGAGCAGCAATTACATACTCTAAACCAGACAAAGAATCAGCAAGACGAAGAAATCCTTGTGCTAGGGCAGGAATCAAGTCAGCGAGAGGAAAAAATCCGTGTGCTAGAGCAGGAATCAAGTCAGCGAGAGGAAAAAATCCGTGTGCTAGAGCAGGAAAAAGAAGAACAGTCACGGCAACTGCGATCAGTGCTGCAACAAAATAGAGAAATGATGTCGCAACTACGGCGCGAAGCTGATCTCAGTCTCCAGAATTCCTTCCGGTTTTCATTGCGAATAGGCGCATATGATGCTAAGACTGCAAGGGACCAATTTCTGAGCTTCGTTGACAGCTATGAGGGACAGAACCACGGTTCTCCTGCAGCCTACGCCACAATCGCAGTATGAGTCTGCTGGACCATCGCCCCGCGGTCGAGGCTCCAAACACTGCCGGAGGAGCCACGCCCCGGGCGGGGTTAAGATCCCCAACCTTCCTCGTGCTACTTTCCTACGTCAAGACCCTGCGATTTGACTATCACGCGCGCAAGCCAGACTTCCACGTGTGGTCCGTGCAAGACCGTGACAGGGGGAGAGGGGATGTGAATGTCTGGACAGTAGGACCTTTTTGGCGATATGAACTCGTCCTCAAACCCCAAGAGGTGGGGTCTCGCAAATGAGAGGAGTTGGTGTTCAACGCTTCATGCACCACCGTGTCAAATAACCCTCTTTATTGATCGGGGCCCCGGGCATGTCTAAAGATTTTAACAATACCCGCCACTTCGTCATGATCGCCCACCTTCCGACGCAGTTTCGGACTACTTTGCGAAGCTTGGAAACAGCCCCTGTGACATGCGGAAGGCTACATTTTTTTGGAGATGAGAGAAAGTTGGCACGGCTGAGAAGTCTTTCCGTGCTGAAGTGCAACAAAGATTACGAGGCGTCAAAAGGTTTAGGGGGAGGATATCGTCTCACGTCTGCAAGAGCGTTAACGGACGTGCGCAGCGCCACATAGCACGCACTCACGGCTCCCTTCTTTACGTGTCACTATTCTCCTAGTGGGGGCTGAATATGATTCCGGGGACATAACGCGTTCAGCAAAGATCTCAATGAAGCAGGTGGATTGCGGTTTGTGATAAGCGCTTAACTAAAGGATGACGGTCATGTTTTTGTGTATAGGCATTTTTTTTT